GATTTCCAAGTTGTCCTGCTAAATCTTTACGATATCGTGTTTGAAGAATGACAGGATCATATGCTATCATAAAATAAATACATATATTAAACCATTTTTATAACGAAAAAAATATTATAAAAAAATTTAATATCCTACATCCATCATCAGAAATACCACCATCTCTCATTAAATAATAACGAATGGTATCAACACCGAATTCTTTCATTACTGTAAATGGATCAACAACATTTCCACGACTTTTAGACATTTTATGTTTATTCATCATCCAATGTGAATGCGCGAAAATCTTTTTTGGAAGTGGTAACTTTGCAGCCATTAAAAAGGCAGGCCAATAAACCGCATGAAATCTTAAAACATATTACAAATAATCACATATAGACATTTAATGAATTCAATATAATAATAAAATAATATAAATTATAAATTTTATTTACCGTATTATATCTTTTCCAACAATATGAACATCAGCAGGCCAACCACTCATAGAATGATTGTTTGCAATATTTTCTTGAGATGGCCAAGGATAGCCAGTAATAGTCAAATAATTAATTAATGCGTCCAACCAAACATATATCGTTTGATTCGAATCTTCAGGTACAGAGATTCCCCAATACAATCTTGATTGAGGTCTAGACACAGATATATCAGCCAAATCACCATTTATAAAAGCTTTAACTTCATTGAAACGATTTAATGGTGTAATTACTAATAAAACGATCAAAACAAAAGAATTAAAATATATATATGAACAATTTTAAATTAAAAAATGAGTCTCATTACCATTTGGATTTTCATCCAACCATCTTAATAATTCATCTTTACATTTTGAAAGACGAAATTTAAAATTCACTTCTTCAGTCCATTCAACTAACTGTCCAGATTCCGACACATTCTATAAAAGATGTATGCAAATAATTAATTGTTTCTATCAGAACTGGATTTTATAACGATCAGGTGTAAATGATTTACCGCAATTTTTTCATCCAAATTTGAAATTTGTACTTGTGACGCATTATAAAAAGCTTCATCAGATACTGAATACCAACCTTCATGAATACCTTTATATATATATCCATTATTAACAAGTTGTTCCTAATATTTTTTTTTATATTTAGGGATTAAATTAAGGATGTAAAATATAATAAAATTTCACTTGTAGGTAAAATATCACTTGTAGGATATAACAAACTTACCCAAAAAAACTTTACCGCGTCTTTATGTTTCTGTTCTGTTGTACGTATAAAAGTAGTATAACTTATATTTGCAATATCGAAAAGTTCCTATATTATCATAATTATTATTTTTACACTGCAAATAACATAGATTTTATAACGAAAAAGAATATTGCGTACACGGAATCTTTTAGATACGTTATCACAGAATTCTTGCGGACTTTGATTCACTTTTGCGGCGGCTTGTTGTATCTATAAAATAAAATCATAATAAACATAATAAATATTATTATGAATATTGTATTTGTATTAATCATGATCAAATTATGTATGTATATATATATTTTTTTCGAATTACTTACATACCTTTAATCCGTGCTCATCGGTTCCTGTACTAAGTATAACTCGTTTATCATTAAGTTCATAATATCTTTTAAGACTATCAGCCATTACGGCAGAATATAAATGACCAATGTGTGGTACTATTTCAAAAAATGCATTTAAATATATGAAAAATAAAATTCAATTATTTATTTACAGTTAAAAGCTCACCAGCATTTACATAAAAAATTGGTGTTGTTATAAACACAGGTTTTTCTAAAGAAGTAGTGGTTATAATGGATCGTTTAAGATATTGTTTAAAAAAGTTTTTTTTATTAACATTCTTATTAGAAAGTGAAAAAATTGAGTATGTTGATTTTGAAATAACGAAAATCTTTAATCGATAATTTGATAAATTTCGAAAAATCTTGTGTGAAAATATAAACGACATTCTCAATTAATGTTGACCAGTTTTTTAGCATGATAAAAAAAAATTAAGCAAGATCTAGCAGATCAAACTCTATCGTCTCGGTGATACGTATCACAATTACCGCAATTACCGTAATTATGCAAATTTAAAAATATGGATACCTGATACCGTACGTCTGCTAATCTTATTATATCTTCAAAGAGTTCAGCGTGGTGTTCTTAGTTCGAAATGTTCTTCACTCAGGAAATCGAATGATG